TCCTTGGATCAAGCAGCTATTACCCCACTAATTAGAAATTATATCCCTGTAAGTTATGTTTTTGGAAGTATTTATCCAATTTTTGTGTAAACATCTTCTGTTTAAACATCAAACAACGTTTGCGCAATTTACGATATTAATTTTAGAACTAGTAATAATTCAAACAGTGCTTTTATATAGAACAAATAATGTCAACTCATAAGATTTCCCCCAAATAATTCTTCATAAATAGCAATTTATACCACTAATCTCATAGACGGAGATCTTGAGGGAGCAGCTTCAAAAAGACAAAATATAGGGCTTTATGCATTCAAGGAGCCACTAGGATTAAATCTGAGTTTGCCTGTAGCATAGCTTAGGTCCATACACACAGTTTTATCATGGTAATACTTTATGTGCATGTATCGACCCCATTCTTACCATACAAAGAGCAACAACTAAGCCACAGTTTCAGAATCTTGAAGTACACATCTAACAATACACTGTGTATCAAGTTCTGTCAATACTTACATATTACATATTTAAATCTTTATTTTGTTGTTTGTATTGCATGATATTAAATGAATATGTTTAATTCCAATTCATTTTGTGTTATAGCATTTTCTCTAGCTACAGTGAAATATTCTTTGTTACTGTATTTGTATGTTGAGATCAGTTGAGATAAGCATAGCACAACGTCCTGTTGAGCTCATATTGTCCGCTACACATTTTATTTTTGTTTGTTAAGTTAGAAAAACGCTCAAGATGTTATAAGTATCTTATCTTCATAATACACCACGTCTAACATTTTACATTGTCTGTAACTCATCTTATCCTTCCTGGATTAATAAACAGTAGTTGAAACAAAGATAAGATGAATAACTGTTTGTATATTGTTATATTTTTCTTACTATTTTATAAAGAACACTACCAGACAAAATGTGAATAAAATGTTAACACTACTGCTAAAATGCAATGCAAATCATTTCACTGAATTTCATATATTCTTATATTGCTTCACTAACCTTTCTTTACAACCAACAAGCACTCTGTCTAATGAATATAGGAGCAGACACAATGGCGCCAGCTGCATCTTACTGCAATTCATTATGATTCATCATTATTATAATCCAATTCCTTAATGCTGGAATACTCCATTTTTGTCAAGATCCCTTGCTTTCTTGTCTGACAAATACAATGTACGTAAAATCCATCCATTAAGAGCTACATTTTGTTTTAAGATAATTACTGCTTTTAAATTATATGTGCGAGCAGTAAAGATCTTGTGATTTGTGCTCCGTAAATAGGGGAAAGATTGGAAAGATTCTAGTGAAAGTAAATTTATTAACATAAATATATATTTATATTGGTATAGCTATGATGATGGGCCAAAATATCATTCACTCATCTTCAGGGTGATAAGGTGACCAGCTGAAATTCAATTTCAACAGACTTGCACAAACCTGAACATTCTCGTCTTGGTTCTTGATTCACAGTGTCATTCCTGCCATTTTTTGAAGAGTGGAGACTGGGTGAAAGTCTAACAGGGAGGGGAAGGGCATTCCATATGAACGGTGCAGCCCTAGAGAAGTCTTTAAGGTATACTCACATACTTAAGAAGCCCATTTCAATGGGGGGGGGGATGAACTTTCCAGATGTAAAATTATACTACAAGGCTACGATCCTCTCCACAGTGGCAACCGCACACATCCCAATCAATGCACCCCAATGAGTAGCTATAGAATCCCACTGGTCATGCAAAGCTGGGCTGCATCACTTTTTTTGGATACCAAAAAAATTGAGACCTGAGATGCCACACATACTAGAACTAACCACACTGCTACTGAACACATGGGACACATACAGCAAACATATAGGGGGACATAACACAATATCATTGGCCATGACAATGTACAGCATATATCTGAGGAACCCGACCTTTGACTATGCCATATGGACAGTAGCAGGATGTACACATGTATACCATCTATATGCTGGAACAACCTTGAAACAATTTCCAGACCTGCAGGGCAATTTTTCTTATTTACAGCTCAAATCTCTCCTGCATTCGACTACACGCCACCTTAAGACGCCCATTTTCCCCAAATATGACGCACTCTGCCTTACATGGACCCTACAAAAGAACATCCTCTCGATAATTTACGCAATACTGATTGAGAGTAAATCTGAGTACACTGACAAATTTATGCAAGCATGGCAGCACGATCTTGGCTCCATCTTCTCTACAGGTCAGTGTAGCCGAGCATTGAAGATACACAAAGGAAACACGGCATGCATCACACACCTTGAACAAATACAGAAACTACAATACAGATGGTACTTGGTCCCAACGAGGCTGGCACATATTTACCCTAGCACATCAAACAAGTGTTGGAGATGCAAGTCTGAAATATTCTTGATGTACCACATATGGTGGACATACAAAATTATCCGCCCATACTGGACAATGGTGGGGGAAATTCTCACCCACATACTGCCCATGCCCCCAAAACTAACACCCAAACTAAACCTCCTGTTTATATGGCCTGAGAATTTATCGAAGGTCCACACACGACTATTGTTCCACACGTTAATAGCCGCTACACTGTCGTAGCCAGGGCATGGAAAACACAAGAAGCTCACTCCAAACACATGTTGGTGCAGCAAATCCAATAAAACTGGGACTGAGCTTATGGCAAACCGACAGATTAGAAAGGGAAGAGCGACCGAGTTAGCAGGACAAATCTGGGAAACATACTGACTCACATTGGGTAACTCCCAGGGTGATTCTGAAAAACCTGATCCTGTGTCGGTAGCCCAAACAACAGGGAAAATGGGAAACAAGGAGTCAACTGGCATAGTGAAAAAGTGAAAAATCTTTCTGTGCACATCTATATTATATATAGAATTTCTCGATTAGTTGCCTGAGCGCATATGTGAGCACAGGAGGCATCATGGGGGGAGGGGGGTGAAAATGTAACACTGTAATAGTGTTTACTAGGGTGAAGGAACAAAGAACTGTCAAATCTCTAGACATAACAGCTCCTCTTCAAATTGGAATAAAAATCTCTAGTAATTTAGATTTTATTCACAACTTTTATTATTATTTGTTTTGACCTAAGTTTTGAAATTCTGTTGTAAACCCACTGCATCTCACTGTTTAGTTAATAAGCATCACTGTAGAGTTAACTCTGGAGGCATTACTAAGCTACTCCATCAACCATTTCCTGTTATATGCTATTATGTCATCATATGGCAGAAAAAATGCTTCAATATCACCATGTAATTTGCTGTGGTTAGAAAAGCTGACATATAAAACACAGCCCTGCTATACATAGAGGAACAGTAATTATGAATTTGAGATATTAACTCGGTATTGCCAATGACAAAAAAGTATTACAAAGCCAAGTTTTCCTTTTAGCAATTATATTTTTAATTATCCCAGTTTTGCCGCTGGCATTTGTGTTTAATAAGTACAATAATGCCACGTTCCTAAATTGAAAAGGTAATTATGCGTGTTACCAGTGGTTATGCAAAAAAAGATTTTGCCCCATACCTACAAACAGACATGAAAGGTCATTGTTTGACTAACGTGCCTATGGGAGATATCACTCACTTTAATTATGATGACCATGTGTAACATTGTTAAATGCATGTGGTTATTGGATATGGATTTTATTAAATACAAATACAATTTTTTTAAAGTAATTGAGGCTCCTATTATGCATTCTCTTTCTTTATTTACTCCCAGCAGCAAGGAAGGAAGTATGAGACAATCATAGAAAAAAAAACTAACAATAGCATAGTAACACTGACACCAATCAGGATCCAGTACTGTCCATATGGATGTGGTGCTCCTTGACTCCTCCTCTTTCTTGCTGCTCCCTCAGACCAGTTAAGTACTCCATCTCCTGCTAATCCTTGAGTGTTACATATATATGTGTGTTTTTTTTGTGTAGATTTATGTAGGGAGTATTTTTTATTGCACACTAATTATTGCTGTGTTATAAAGTCCTGCTGGTGTCAGGGAGTGCTGCCTATTGGGGTCTCTGGGGCCTTTTTCCCTCCTGCCCCATCACTTCTGGGTACTTTTCCCACTTATTCCCTTCCCTGCAATGTCAGCCCCATTGGTGGTGCAGCTGGGCTACTTGGCTGCTTGCCGCGAGGGTCCACAGTCTTGTCAGCGGTTTTGTGCGGTCCACGCATGTGCGATTGCTCTGACAGACTTTTTTTCATTTCGACCTGCTGCGCATTCGCAGTTCACGCCACGGTGGCAATCTTTTTGGTTTCTGTTGCCGCGAGTGCATACTTTCAGTCGCGGTGGCCATTTTGATTGAGTTTTCAGTGGTAATTTCAGCGGATCGTTGTCAAAGGTAGATAATGGCTTCTGCTATCTTCCTGGCCACTCCCACACCCATATTGTGTATTATTGCTGTTCAGTTGTGAGTGTTGGTGTGGAGGATTACTCTATCCTGACACCTTTTTGTTCTTTTAGCCTTTAGCTAGGATTTTTTACTTAAGAGGTCACTTCAGGTACTGTTATTTAATCCTTTAGCTACCTGCTAATAGCATTGGTTTATTGGGCCTAGTAATTCGACCCTGATTGTGATTAAGAGTATTATTCCCTGTGGGCAGATAGTGATTGAAATGCTATGATACAGGATCAAACTTAGAGACCTGCGGGTTCAGTGTCTCCCACACCGGGGGTTTCCCCCTGAGGCAAGGATAGTAGGGATGACGCCAGCCTCATGGCATCGGAGGAATTTCAATCCCTCCTCGATTCTACCATGGCGCAATCCATCAACAAGGCTTTGGACTCCGCGATGGAGGTAATGTCATCCTCTATCACACACTCAATAACCCAAGCGTTGCTGCAGACTCAGGGTAGTGGCCCTCAGGGCACACAAGACCCGGGAACCACTAATGTGTCACAACTGGGCCGCAAAGCTTTGGTTAAAAGCAGACATACTATTTCCCCTCCAGAACTTTAGATTCGGCCTGTATTGAATGACACGCCTCAGGCTGTCGAGGATGGTGCGATACCACCGCGCAAAAGAGCCCCTGGCCAGGCAAAATCAGCCAGATCGTGGAAGCGGGCACGTGCCCATGAGGACTCGTCCGATTCGGACCAGAGTTTGGAGGAAGAATATGACGATCCATATATGGATCAATATTGTGAGGACAATTCCGATTCAGGGTCTGATGTGAAACCAGTCACTGCATCCCAGAAGGTTACGGCTCAGGGCTCTGAGCCTACCAGATTGGGCGACCCAGATTGGGCGTTGTTTGACACAGGTGACCTGCGTCACGCTTGCTCAGCAGAATGGGAGCCTCCTGAGCACATCGCGAGATACCTCGCGCTAAGAGTGCGGAAACCTTTGTCCAAGGAGGGGCGTAGCAAGCTACCTATCCTTCCAGACTCAGTGGGGAAAACCCCTGACGTGAACCCTCAATTGGTCCAATTCTTGAATAAGTAAGGTGGGAAACCGAGGAAAGGCCGAGACTTTTCCCTTCAGAACTGCCAGGACAAGTTCCTGTACACCCAGGGACCCATCTCTCAGCTCTATGAACTGGTGGGATCTGCCCAACTGGGTGAGAGCGACTTCGACTTTGAAGTAGCGAAAGGCTGGTTGCAGAGGTTGGTCTGCATGGTGGGTAATGCCAATACAGCTGTGTCAACCGAACGCCGCAAGGCCATACTTCTGAAAATTTAGCCCAAACTGGTCAGTATGGTGACCAATGAGCCGGGGCTAGCTGCAAAAGGGGTATCAATTGAAGCTAGTCTCTCACCCTATTCAGGTGCAGTTCCCTTGAGAGCTGAACATGCCCGACGAACACCACACGATGATCTCGGGCAGAGATTGCAGATTTGGCGTCAAAACATGCTATTTGACAAATCCTGTGGGACACAGAAGGGTTCGTGAGCAACCTGTTTCTGGTCCTCAAGAAAGGAGGCTGGGTACGCCCAGTAATCAATCTCCGACCCCTAAATGCTTTTGTCCAGTACCACAACTTCAAAATGAAGGGTTTAAATTGCCTTCGGGACATCCTGCTACCATCAGATTGTATGGTTAAACTAGATTTACGGGATGCTTATCTGACAATCCCTGTCGTGGAAGCACATCAAAACCTACTGCAGTTTCAGTGGCGAGGAACGAAGTGGAGTAAGTCCACCATTTGGCCTGTCCTCTGCTCCATGGTACTTCACAAAGGTACTGAAGCTGGTGATTGCCTTCCTACGCACACGAGGCATCAGATTAATCTTTTACCTGGACGATATCCTTCTCCTTTCTCAGTCTCAACCCCAACTACGTGTTCACCTGTCTTGGACGACCCACCTCCTCCAAAATGTAGGATTCTTGGTGATTCTTGGTGTAGGATTCTTGGTGTCCTTCTACCCTCCCAATGCATAGAATTTCTGGGATTTTAAGTGGACTCTGTACAACAGAGGTTGTGTCTACCCAAAGACAAAATGATTTTGATCAAGAAAGTGATCAGACGACTTATGCATCGTATGACCATTTCCCCCAGACAACATGCGAGGATCATAGGACTATTGACATCGTCCATACAAGTTATCTTCCTGGGCCTGTTACATTATCATGCCCTACAAATACTCAAAGCCTCGTATCTGCGTTTCGGACACTCGTACGAAATTTGTGTTACGCTGGACAAGGACTCCAGAGAGGAGTTGACATGGTGGCTAGCCCACATGGAGGCGTGGAATGGACGGGCAATATTTGGGTCTATGCCAGATCTGATCATAGAGTCGAACCCAGCTTACATGGCTGGGGCACGCATTGCGGGACAATTTCCACTGATGGCAGATGGTCCAATGAAGAAACGTTGTTACACATCAACTGCCTAGAACTGCAAGCGGCATCCTTTGCCATTTGCAGCATGACTCCATCAGGCTCTATCCTAATCAAAATGGTCAATGTCTCAGTGGTGCGTTATATCAACCACCTAGGAGGAACAAAATTGAAAGTTCTAGCAGTAATGGCTCAAGATTTTTGGCAATATTGTCTGAAGCACAGCATATCGATAGTAGCAGAATATATCCCAGGACAAGACAATGCAACGGCGGATTGGAATTCTCTAAACCTTCAAGATTCAGGGGATTGGCACCTCCATCCAACGATTTTCCAATGTCTCTCTTGACTTTGGGGGCCTTTCCTCATAGATCTCTTCGCATCTCGGCTGAATGCCCAACTTCCTCGGTTGTTCAGTTGGAGACCGGACCCAGATGCTCTGGCGACAGATGCATTCTTGCAAGACTGGACCAAGGGGAGGAATTATGCTTTTCCACCTTTCAACCTAATCTTTCAGACCCTCGCATTCCTTCGATATTCCAAAAGGACCCTGGTTCTGATAACTCCGAAATGGAGGTCGCCACATTGGTTCCAACAAATATTGAAAATGTCGATAGACTTTTCACACCTATTGCCGGACATGTCCTACCTTCTGACAAATCCAGATGGAGTGAGTCACGAGCTGATCGACCACGGTCTACTTCATCTGACGGCATGGCTCATTTCAGGAGATCATGGAATCTCAAGGATGTTTCGCAGACAAACCTCAGTCTCCTGCCAGAGGCTTGGGCACCAGGTACCAGATGTTCCTCCAGGTCAGCTTGGAGAAGGTGGACTGATTGGTGTGTGGGAGGATCGGTGGATCCCATATCATCTCCTGTGAAATCAATCTTACAATATCTGACTCTGCTCTTTGAAGAGGGAAAAACTTCACTTACTATAAACCTGTACAGATCAGCTATATTAGTGAGACATATGGGTTCAGATATTACGCCAATAGGTAAACATTCCCTCACCTGTCATTTGCTCAAAGGCATCCATTTTTCTTGACCCCCTTAGGCATGATATTCTTCTTTTTGGGATGTTAATGATTTTTCGTTTTCTTGAGTCTTGGCCCTTGAATCGCAAACTTTCTTTTAAACAATTATCGGTCAAGCTGTTGATGCTGTTTTGTTTACTTTCATATTTCCAGTATGGTGGTTGCTCAGCTTTAAAATAGCATAATAGGAGCCTCTGTGTCTTTAATAAAATTACAAGATTTTACTATTAACATGACGTAAACCTAGATATACTGATAATTTGCAACTGAACACCAGCTACTTGTGTCGGTGCTCTAATTGCAAAAAAACAGCTAAAGTACCAAAAGAGAGACTCCAGGGGTCTCAAGGGGCTTAACTCCGGGAATAGAGAAAAAATATATAAAGAAAAACACAATGCTTATCACAATCTCAAAGACAATTGTGACTCGCTGTGTATCCTGGAGATGTACAGTAGTCTAAACGTAAATACTTATATAGTATTAGGATATCCCTAAAAGGTGAGGGTTATAAAATAATAATAAAGTGCCTAAACACTCCACAATTTGTGGAAAATATATAGATATTAGGATTATATCAGGTATCTACTATGAGCTTTATTATATCTGGCTCAGTGGGTAACCATAATGCTATTTATATAAAATCTAATATATTAACCAAAAAACGAAGAGAATACTCTAAAGTGCTACCTCTAATTAGCACAAGAAACAAGTCATGATTTTATTAATGACGAGTATAATGGAGGCGAGTATTATTCCCACCCACCCTACCCGTGTTGATGGTTAATTTACAGGTCATTCGTTGGGCCTTTTGGATGATACATACTTAATAATGATTGATTAACATAGTTGACAAGTTTGATAGTAGTGGCCTTACAATCGCAAGCTTTGTTATTACCATATATTTTCTTCTCTTCTAGCTTGAATACACCTTCAAGAGTTGGGGTTGAAGTTGTTTTTCCTAGTTGAATTTCTGGATATGTGAGAGTTTTTTGTTGGAATACTTTGGACCCTACAATAATGGTCTTCGGGATCTACACAGAAAGAGGAGGAGTAAAGGAACACCACACCCATATGGACAGTACTGGATCCTGATTGGTGTTAGCGTTACTATGCTATTGTTATGTTTTTTTCTATGATTCTCTCATACTTACTTCCTTGCTGCTGGGAGTAAATAAAGAGAATGCATAATACTTGCCTCCGTGTCATTAATAAAATCATGAATTTACGTTATGTTAATAGTAAAATCTGGTAATTGCAATACTTTTATTTAATTACACCTTGAAATTCATTCTAGAACTTTGTAGGTTAACAATATAGAATATATATTTTTTTGTTTTGAAAAGATAATGGAATACTATAGGGTCAGGAAAACAAACATATATTTCTGACCCTATAATGTTAAAAACACAATCTATCCCTCCTGGAAACCCCTTCTCCACTAAATATAGTAAAATGTTTCCTTTATTCCAGTATGATGCTGCTGGCTCTGTCGCTGATCTGCCTCCTTGGCTGACATCATCAGAAGTATTGATATAAGCCAATCACAATGCTTTCCCCTAGGAAAGCATTGGATTGGCTGATAGTGACAAGAAGGCAGACCAGGGGCAGAGTAAGCACAAGTCAAACACATCTCTTACCAATCAGCATCTTCTCATAGAGATGCATTGAATCTTAATATCTGCACAAATTAGTAGAAAAGAAGGTGTTTGAAATCCTTTAAATATTTAGATATACATTTCAAACTCTACATATTATTCTTTGCAATCACTGGTCACTGTGGATGTAGTGTCTGTATGCACTGTCTTCATTCCAGATAAATGATGGGAGTGCCGCTTAAGTGGTTTTGACCAGTAGACTTGACCTTTTAATAGAACTTGAGTATAACATGCTCTTACTCTCCATGCTCCATTTAACATTTGTAGCTACATTTCTAAAACCTAGAAACATATATTAAGCTGACATTTACACCGATAAAAGTGTAGTTTGAATCTCGATTTAATTCTAGGATGAAGTGGTCTAAATATGTAAATATATGTATTCCAATTGAGTGACTGTGACCTTTTTCTCTGTTTGCAAAAAGCATTTGTCTACCGTACAATACTGCAGATCACTGTGACATGATAAGACTGATCCTGCCCAGAATTTTAAAGCAGTATTTTTCAGATATCCAATTGATGAATGGGCAGATCATCTCTGTACAACAGCCTAATCTTTTGTAGGACAAAAATGCCTCTAGACAACAATGCATTACATTTTGTTCACAGTATTAATTCAAAGTAAAATAAAGTGGCAGCAATTGGCTGGGAGAACTTTAGATTTAGATGATGATCTATGAGTTTGTTTACCTTTTGTACTCATAGAATTTTTCATGTAAAAAAGGACATTTGATACAGACTTATAATACGTCTGCCTGGCAAAGACACCAAAATAATAATTACAGTGATTTTGGTGTCTTTGCCAGGCAGACGTATTATAAGCACGATTAAAAGTCTAGATCATAAACACGTCACACATTCTGCTAATCAAAGAGCATATCTATCTAACTAATCAGGACTTTCTAAGGAGAATAATATGCAATGGTAAATCTAAG